AGAAATCAGATTGATTGTGTCATTGTTGATTATTGCCATTAAAACTTTTATAGGAATTGTAATGGTCTAATGTATTTGTATCAATATGCATTTAAAGACAAATTACGTGTACATTTGAGGATTAATTCATTACATTAATTCATTGATACAAATAAATATTTATCTTACGAAACTTCGCTAGTACAGTTAATGAAAATTTTTTGTAGGTAACTAAAAATAGGATCATTACGGGAGTTTGCGAAATATTCCAGGAGCCAACTATGATGTTCAGGCTTTACTTTGTTTCGATTTATCCTGTGTTTTAGTACCACATGTAAACACGTACATAATACGTACCCCCTATAAATATGATTGTTTTAACCTAAATTAAAGAAATGATAACGCGTTTACTGTTACGAAAGTAACGGGAAAATAATAGATCAGGTTTTGCATGCGTTCATATTTGCTCATTTTTAGAATGTTAACCAATATTTGAGTGTCGGCAAAAGAAAACCCGACAATTTAAATATAGTCTATATTTAAATTGTCGGGTTTTCTTTTGCCGTCAATAATTTCTGTTCCAATTTCAACTAATAGTTAATTTTAAATATCTGGCTTTTTAATGTTAGCCAATAATGAATATAAAACAAGAAAATTGATTATCAATTTATGGACAAAAATAAAACTTACATAATAAAATGCCTCCTTAATATTTTGATTCTGTAAATATTAAATTATGTGTAAGACTAAAAAAGGTAAATTGATCAAATCAACTTTTAAAAGAAAAATGCACATTATAATACATGGCGTAGAATGTTTTAGGCTAAATTTTTTTTCAAAGTTCAAATATTTTGACATTATGAATTATTTGGTTTGACTAGAATGTTATAACAGTTTCACTTTATTAAAGCCTGAAATATTTCAAATATGTTCAACATTGCAATTTAATAATTTAGTAACACTTTTGGTAAATTCTCAACTAGGTTTGTTAATGGGTTGAGTTGGGTTAGGTTGATTTGAATAAGTTTCAACCCAAACCAGCTTGGGATATTAAGCTCTAGTATAATGCTCCAGTTTTGTCTTTAATTTTATCAAACTAAATTAATTACAGTACTTTATTTGATATATTTTATAACTCACACTGAGTCTGGTTTGGGTTCAAATTAGAGCGCTTTTGAGTATATTAACAACTTACTCTCAGCAGTTTCTACGTCATACGTATTTTACATGTGTGCACGATTACTACGATTAATACGATTACCATTTTATGTGGCACATCACATCATTTTTGCGTGCGTGACATTACACGAATGCATTGAGCATTGAAATAATTCTTTTTTTGTGTGTACGTCGTACAGCACATAAATTGACCAGTAGCTTATTATTATTTGGAATACAAATTTATTATGTACAGTACAATAAAAAATCCTTTAGGAGTATTTGTAAATACAAATTTTTTATTTATCGACAATATAATAGATTCATAAGTGGTACGTACGTACGTACATGCTTAATATCAAATATGAAATCACTTGAAATTGATAAATAATATCTAAATGTTTAGATTGTAATTCGTGTGAACCTTACTAAATTTGATATATAAACAAACTTGAGAAGGAATTGAATTAAATTACACATGCTTGTAGTATAGCACGTACGTTTTTAGTTAAAGTGATAAAAAGTTATATTGTTGTGCACCTGTCATTTTATTATGTCTTATATAGTATAGTGATATTCTGTATACTTAGTATAACGATGACCTCGAGTTACTAGGACTCGATAATTGTAGAGTATAATAAATTCTTATACTTTAGCTGTGCTGAAATCAATAAATGATATCTTTGTAATAATACCAAAATATTGAATGTTTTTCTAGAAAGAATTGTGCGTTTTAAGCATAAACATGACTACATGTGTAATACCAAAATAACAACTTTCTAGGGGTAAGTTATAAATTGAAATGTATTCTAAACAGAATATTCCTCGTGAAATTTTGATCTACATATTAATCTTACCTGTGATTAACCTTCAATTTTCTAGAACACCGTGTCTATAATATGTAAAATTTTATCCGTGTTATATCATTATTTTTTTTCTTTATTCAGTATCTCATAATTTATTTCGCACCGTGTCTATAATACATAAAATTTTATCCGTGTTAAATCATTATTTTTTTCTTTATTCAGTATCTCATAATTTATTTTCGCTTTTCTAGAGCACCGTGTCTATAATACGTAAAATTTTATCCGTGTTAAATCATTATTTTTTTTCTTTATTCAGTATCTCATAATTTATTTTTACTCCTTCTTTTTGTGTTCTTATTTAAGTGCATCAACAGTTAAATGTGGTGTAAACATGAACGTTAAGATATTAATGTGAACACGGAGATGAAATGACTGCACCGAGACATGCTGAATTTTGCCCTCATAAAGTTTAAATTATTGAGATTATGTGCGTCTACCCTATAAAATAATTTGTTCAGTTATTGTAGGCATTCGAAAAAAATGTTCGATTATCTGAATGCAAGTACAATATTGTACAATTTTTATTTTGCGATGTAAAAAAGAAATTTTGGGGTTGACAACATTAGATATAAACACTGTACAAAATCATTACAGTATACGGTATGCTCAAAAATCGACTCCTTTCCGAACATTTTTTTAAACAAAATCAGTATAACTTTAGAAAGTTTTTAGAACATTGCCGACAAAATTTAGGCCAAATTTTTTTATAGGCTATCATTTTGCTTTTCTCAAGTTTATAGTTATTGGTTATTGAATTGGTTATTGTACATTAGAGATAAAAAAAACTTACATAAATGTTGACTACACATAAGTATTTACATTCTTTGTTACTATTGAGATCACACTCTCTTGAAATCTATAATACCAAGTCTTTTTTTCATGTTTAATTTCTTATTTAATTGCATGACTGTAATCATCGTCAACTAAATCACTATTTAATTCGCAAATATTGACTCAAATAGTTTAGTTTAATTTTAGTAAATAATTATAATAAAATGATTGCATTTATATTGTCTTAATAACTTAAGGAAATTTTACTAACTTAAGTTGATATTTCATCAGAATAGTGTTGATTTAAAGTTTTATTAGAAATACGTTGCTTTAAAGTGTTAATTAATTTTTGACTTGATTGGTAGGGACATATCAATATTGTTTGTAAAAGTTAATATATTGAGGTGATATACTTCCTATGAGTTCTTTTTTTCTTGGATGTAAAACAAATAATATTATTACTGATTCGAAGGACTGATATTATGATCGTTTGAAATTTCTCGGAAGATACTCAGATTTCATAACAGATAACATATTGCGATTTGCAAAATGATTTATTTTTGATCAAATTTGTAGATCGCTGCACGCCTATACAATTAGGGTAGCTGCCAGATGCAAGGTAGCATGTTTATTTATTTTAAATCAACTAGAATTCTGATTTAATATTATTGAGATATTGGAAGTCGTTAAATAGTGTTTCAATCTTACAAAACTTTTAGCATTGGTTTTGCAAAAATATAAAGCAATCACAGATCATAGTTTTTCATTTCAACTCAAAACCATACTTCTTATTTATTCTGGAATTTTCAATAGTCAATAACTTGAGCATATTCAGGCATCTCGCTCAGTAGATCAGATGCAAAATCTTAATTAAATAAATTGACAAAGTGAGCCATAGTAAATAATATCATTTTCTCCGAATAAATTTTACCATTTTTAGTATAAATGTTTTAGCTTGTATTCAAATTTAGAAGCTATGTTTTATACAAGATCTGGTAAAGGTTTATTCTTCAAATAACCATATACATCTCATTCTCGTTATAATGAAGTCATTAGACCGAGAAAATAATCTTCACTATAGCTTATATCGAGAGAATACTAATGCACTTCAATATCTGCTAAAGATTAATAATTCTGTATTCAAAATTTTTCTCAAATCTTCATTATGTCGAGAGTGAATCGCCAACACCCAACTGCTCAGGATATTTTATTGCCAATGCACTCTGCTTCACCACGTTAACCATGTTATCATGTTATAATATTTCACTACAATCCTGGCATTTCACTATGATTTTGAATCAGTAAGGCTCCGATTTTGTACGTATGGATGTGAAAGAATACTAGTAATAATGAAATCAGTTCAAATACGAATTCAGAAATTGAGTAACTCTAATGAAAGCCTGTAAGTAAAGTTCTTATGCATTAATCAATTTAACTTTGACCATGCAGTTTAATTTTTAATAATCTATTAAAAAGAGCAACCGGAATAAATTCTGTTGATAAATTTATCAATGCAAAATTGCTAACCAATAAACTAATGATTCAAATCGAATATATGACTATAATTAATTAAGCATATTACAACTTGTAAAATTTAATTTTTATAAATAGCCTTTTTTTAATCGTAGGAGTTGAGTAAGTGCTAGTCTCGTCCTTTTTTCGTGTTAGGATAAGAATAATTTGGACCTAAGTCTGAAGATTTTACTTTTAGAAGCAATACTGCTATCATAATTTCTATATGGAAATTAAGTCGGGTACAGTATAAATTAAATTTTCACTTAAAGGTCTTAATTTAACAACGCTCAGATAATTCCTTTTAAAAACAGCTTCTAATTAATTAAGACTTGTTAGCAGTATATCTTAGACTCTGTATTGAGATTTTGAAATACTATAGCAAATTCACTTGAAATATATGAGATCGAATAGGGAGAATAAATCTCTTTTATTTCATTTTAACGACAAATTAGTTATGCGTAGAGAATGGACCAAAGAAAGGTCGAAAAATGAAAGCATAAAAATAATCTAAAAACATATATAGTAAAAAAAATATAAATTGAAAAATGTGAGAATAATCAAATTGTAATATTCTTGCATCAAATGGACTACCTAGGCTATTAAACACAGTGTGTAAAAACCGTCATAATATCATAAGCATTCCATAATCAACGCTCTGAATATTAATTATTCTTGAATTCTTTACTAAGCGTTAGAGATATGGATTTAGTTCTAAGCATGATTAAGCCTATTTAAATCAATTGAAGCATTATCCTTAAAGTCACCACGTCGACGAAATTCACGTGCGTAAATTTCTTTTTTAGGTGAGCTCATAGATTCATCAACACTACGACGAGCAGCTTCGGTACCTCCGAAAGTATATACCATCGTCATATAATAGTCTACATTATTTGGATTACTGACTAAAATGCAATAATGATCTCTTGGGAGGTTATAATTATTATAATGTACAAGACGACAAACGGTACTACTAGTCCCACATGAGTTGGTAGTGCCATTACTAGAGTAGGGGAAAAGTGCATATTCAAATCCAGAGTAATCAGTAATCGAAGTACCATTCCCCATGTAAGATTTTCCTGCAGCAGGTGTGGTGGGAGTTCCACTAAGTGAATACACCAAGGAAAAATCTAATGAAATGACATGAGTGAGTCAATGAGTAACATATTATTTGATACATTAATTCATATTTTTATTTACCTATATATGTAATTGTATATTCAGTGCAAGCAGCCCATATACCGCCATTTTTGGGAGCCAAAGTCATCATTGTCGTGAAAGCGTTAACATCAGTTGCAAAATAGATCTACAATTATTTTTAAGTGAAATCAATGTTATTTTAATCATTTTATTTTAAATGACAAAGTATTTGATTCATATGATAAGCGCTGCAACAATGAATCAATAATCCTGAAAAAAAAAGGTTGTTTACAAAATTATTATGTTTTCAATTTAAAAATTTTTATTGTTAAAATTCATTTCGACAGTTTCTTGCAGCTTATCATGTGATCCTCGTTTTGAGGCACTTTTTTATTTTACCTGCAAGAACAGAAGTGCGATAACCAAAAATTTATTCATGACGTTATTCAAATAAAAGAATTTATTCAAAGTTATAACAGTGTCCTTAATAGCCAACAAGATGAAAATGTCGGTGAGGGAGAGAAAAGCGCGACATACAGGTATATATATTAGAAATCAGATTGATTGTGTCATTGTTGATTATTGCCATTAAAACTTTTATAGGAATTGTAATGGTCTAATGTATTTGTATCAATATGCATTTAAAGACAAATTACGTGTACATTTGAGGATTAATTCATTACATTAATTCATTGATACAAATAAATATTTATCTTACGAAACTTCGCTAGTACAGTTAATGAAAATTTTTTGTAGGTAACTAAAAATAGGATCATTACGGGAGTTTGCGAAATATTCCAGGAGCCAACTATGATGTTCAGGCTTTACTTTGTTTCGATTTATCCTGTGTTTTAGTACCACATGTAAACACGTACATAATACGTACCCCCTATAAATATGATTGTTTTAACCTAAATTAAAGAAATGATAACGCGTTTACTGTTACGAAAGTAACGGGAAAATAATAGATCAGGTTTTGCATGCGTTCATATTTGCTCATTTTTAGAATGTTAACCAATATTTGAGTGTCGGCAAAAGAAAACCCGACAATTTAAATATAGTCTATATTTAAATTGTCGGGTTTTCTTTTGCCGTCAATAATTTCTGTTCCAATTTCAACTAATAGTTAATTTTAAATATCTGGCTTTTTAATGTTAGCCAATAATGAATATAAAACAAGAAAATTGATTATCAATTTATGGACAAAAATAAAACTTACATAATAAAATGCCTCCTTAATATTTTGATTCTGTAAATATTAAATTATGTGTAAGACTAAAAAAGGTAAATTGATCAAATCAACTTTTAAAAGAAAAATGCACATTATAATACATGGCGTAGAATGTTTTAGGCTAAATTTTTTTTCAAAGTTCAAATATTTTGACATTATGAATTATTTGGTTTGACTAGAATGTTATAACAGTTTCACTTTATTAAAGCCTGAAATATTTCAAATATGTTCAACATTGCAATTTAATAATTTAGTAACACTTTTGGTAAATTCTCAACTAGGTTTGTTAATGGGTTGAGTTGGGTTAGGTTGATTTGAATAAGTTTCAACCCAAACCAGCTTGGGATATTAAGCTCTAGTATAATGCTCCAGTTTTGTCTTTAATTTTATCAAACTAAATTAATTACAGTACTTTATTTGATATATTTTATAACTCACACTGAGTCTGGTTTGGGTTCAAATTAGAGCGCTTTTGAGTATATTAACAACTTACTCTCAGCAGTTTCTACGTCATACGTATTTTACATGTGTGCACGATTACTACGATTAATACGATTACCATTTTATGTGGCACATCACATCATTTTTGCGTGCGTGACATTACACGAATGCATTGAGCATTGAAATAATTCTTTTTTTGTGTGTACGTCGTACAGCACATAAATTGACCAGTAGCTTATTATTATTTGGAATACAAATTTATTATGTACAGTACAATAAAAAATCCTTTAGGAGTATTTGTAAATACAAATTTTTTATTTATCGACAATATAATAGATTCATAAGTGGTACGTACGTACGTACATGCTTAATATCAAATATGAAATCACTTGAAATTGATAAATAATATCTAAATGTTTAGATTGTAATTCGTGTGAACCTTACTAAATTTGATATATAAACAAACTTGAGAAGGAATTGAATTAAATTACACATGCTTGTAGTATAGCACGTACGTTTTTAGTTAAAGTGATAAAAAGTTATATTGTTGTGCACCTGTCATTTTATTATGTCTTATATAGTATAGTGATATTCTGTATACTTAGTATAACGATGACCTCGAGTTACTAGGACTCGATAATTGTAGAGTATAATAAATTCTTATACTTTAGCTGTGCTGAAATCAATAAATGATATCTTTGTAATAATACCAAAATATTGAATGTTTTTCTAGAAAGAATTGTGCGTTTTAAGCATAAACATGACTACATGTGTAATACCAAAATAACAACTTTCTAGGGGTAAGTTATAAATTGAAATGTATTCTAAACAGAATATTCCTCGTGAAATTTTGATCTACATATTAATCTTACCTGTGATTAACCTTCAATTTTCTAGAACACCGTGTCTATAATATGTAAAATTTTATCCGTGTTATATCATTATTTTTTTTCTTTATTCAGTATCTCATAATTTATTTCGCACCGTGTCTATAATACATAAAATTTTATCCGTGTTAAATCATTATTTTTTTCTTTATTCAGTATCTCATAATTTATTTTCGCTTTTCTAGAGCACCGTGTCTATAATACGTAAAATTTTATCCGTGTTAAATCATTATTTTTTTTCTTTATTCAGTATCTCATAATTTATTTTTACTCCTTCTTTTTGTGTTCTTATTTAAGTGCATCAACAGTTAAATGTGGTGTAAACATGAACGTTAAGATATTAATGTGAACACGGAGATGAAATGACTGCACCGAGACATGCTGAATTTTGCCCTCATAAAGTTTAAATTATTGAGATTATGTGCGTCTACCCTATAAAATAATTTGTTCAGTTATTGTAGGCATTCGAAAAAAATGTTCGATTATCTGAATGCAAGTACAATATTGTACAATTTTTATTTTGCGATGTAAAAAAGAAATTTTGGGGTTGACAACATTAGATATAAACACTGTACAAAATCATTACAGTATACGGTATGCTCAAAAATCGACTCCTTTCCGAACATTTTTTTAAACAAAATCAGTATAACTTTAGAAAGTTTTTAGAACATTGCCGACAAAATTTAGGCCAAATTTTTTTATAGGCTATCATTTTGCTTTTCTCAAGTTTATAGTTATTGGTTATTGAATTGGTTATTGTACATTAGAGATAAAAAAAACTTACATAAATGTTGACTACACATAAGTATTTACATTCTTTGTTACTATTGAGATCACACTCTCTTGAAATCTATAATACCAAGTCTTTTTTTCATGTTTAATTTCTTATTTAATTGCATGACTGTAATCATCGTCAACTAAATCACTATTTAATTCGCAAATATTGACTCAAATAGTTTAGTTTAATTTTAGTAAATAATTATAATAAAATGATTGCATTTATATTGTCTTAATAACTTAAGGAAATTTTACTAACTTAAGTTGATATTTCATCAGAATAGTGTTGATTTAAAGTTTTATTAGAAATACGTTGCTTTAAAGTGTTAATTAATTTTTGACTTGATTGGTAGGGACATATCAATATTGTTTGTAAAAGTTAATATATTGAGGTGATATACTTCCTATGAGTTCTTTTTTTCTTGGATGTAAAACAAATAATATTATTACTGATTCGAAGGACTGATATTATGATCGTTTGAAATTTCTCGGAAGATACTCAGATTTCATAACAGATAACATATTGCGATTTGCAAAATGATTTATTTTTGATCAAATTTGTAGATCGCTGCACGCCTATACAATTAGGGTAGCTGCCAGATGCAAGGTAGCATGTTTATTTATTTTAAATCAACTAGAATTCTGATTTAATATTATTGAGATATTGGAAGTCGTTAAATAGTGTTTCAATCTTACAAAACTTTTAGCATTGGTTTTGCAAAAATATAAAGCAATCACAGATCATAGTTTTTCATTTCAACTCAAAACCATACTTCTTATTTATTCTGGAATTTTCAATAGTCAATAACTTGAGCATATTCAGGCATCTCGCTCAGTAGATCAGATGCAAAATCTTAATTAAATAAATTGACAAAGTGAGCCATAGTAAATAATATCATTTTCTCCGAATAAATTTTACCATTTTTAGTATAAATGTTTTAGCTTGTATTCAAATTTAGAAGCTATGTTTTATACAAGATCTGGTAAAGGTTTATTCTTCAAATAACCATATACATCTCATTCTCGTTATAATGAAGTCATTAGACCGAGAAAATAATCTTCACTATAGCTTATATCGAGAGAATACTAATGCACTTCAATATCTGCTAAAGATTAATAATTCTGTATTCAAAATTTTTCTCAAATCTTCATTATGTCGAGAGTGAATCGCCAACACCCAACTGCTCAGGATATTTTATTGCCAATGCACTCTGCTTCACCACGTTAACCATGTTATCATGTTATAATATTTCACTACAATCCTGGCATTTCACTATGATTTTGAATCAGTAAGGCTCCGATTTTGTACGTATATCTACTAATTCCTGGAGCTTGCCTTTTAATTCATTCTCTACAATGTCTAAATTATGATATGTAATAAATATTTCACGAGCTGTTGTGAATAAACACATACTACGACCCCCAAATTTCCTGGTTACGCGAAATCCGATTGACAATCCTTAATAACGATATTATGGGTTTTTTCTAAACTTTGAGCGATGATATCTCGATAATTACCTATTAAATTTTTTTTATTTCTATGGATTTATAGAATTAACGATATTGACATTTTACTTGATGTTTATTTTCGGGTAATTTCTGGTTATACCAGGAACGTAGTACGAAGTACGAAGTGTATGGTTTACAGGCAACTATCTGTGTGCAAAATCTTGCATGCTATTGGATAGCATGCTCACATGTTCAAATTGATATGTGTACTTTTTCGGGTAGCTTTTAATCGTTAGGCTGGTCATACATTGTTGAATTCTGCTCAATAAAACAAAGACAGAT